GAGAAAAAAATCTATAAGAATCTTTCCGGAATTCTTAATATAGGAATCTTTCCGGAATACTTAAAACAAAGATGAAATGTGACATCAAACGATTCTCGGTGATATTTATGAAAGCTTCTATAATAAATGTTATTGTATATTTAGAGTTTCTACGATTATAACAACGATGATTATTACGAGCTCTCCTGAATCTTTGATCAATTCCGGATTCAATGGAACATTTAGCGGTGTTACGTTTTACTAATGAAAGGAAAAGATAAAAAATAAAACCGTAATATTCAGTTGAAATAAGTGTTGCAAACAGCACTGCTTACATATGTAAACGAAATTTCGACGTTTTGCACCACATTGTATAGATGACCGTTCAACAGTCAAAATATGTCTTAAATCAAGAAAAACGATGAGATGCGCTTCAGAAGCTATTTTTGAGATTCTAAAGCGACAGCAAGTAACTTTTCATCATTGAATTATTTCAATTGCTTGAGATACTTAAACCTTAGAGCGAAAAATCTGCCATTAACAAGCTGCAAATTACCTCAAAGCAAGCATCAAAATTGGTGTTTTGCGCTTAGTAGTACTGTCCTCATCGAACACTGCTTCCAGTTCAATGTCACAGTATGTCGGTAGTTTACGCAAAATCTTGAAAGAGCTGATAATTGAATATAAACAGATGAATTATCTTAAATTTTGAAATTAAGAATTAGAAACGTGCAACTCACTCTGATAAGATTTGGTACCATTAAAATATTCTCCAAACACTGCAGAAATAGTGATATCATTGTCTCAACAGGCGAAATTATTAGAAGCCATGCACACTGCAAATAAGCTATAAAGGAAACATTTCTTCAACAAAATAACTACTTATTTTTACAGACAAATAGATTTCTAAGGATGATTCTTACCCAAAGCAAGAATTTGTGAAACTTAGGAAAATCCCTGGTAAAAATAAAACTGTGTCGGACAAGCAACTTGACAAATTAACAACAACCTCATCAGTTGCTTTTTCCAACTTAATTTGGTTCGTATGAAGTTGTGCGTGGTCTTCAAGGTAGATGAGAAGATTCCTCATGTCTTCTTCAAAATTCTGAGAATAGAAATTTTTAAAAGAAAGATACTTGACACGATAAAGAAATGGCTCTTAACAGAACAATTATAAAAAATCACAAGCTATTTCATCCGAATCACACACATATTCTACATTTAACACAGCATGCTCTCACTGATAATTTAGCGGTAGCATACTTTCTATAAAATAGTGCAAGACGTATGTGCTCGTATCTATTTATGGATTTTTTTTTTCAAATTTAAAATTAAATACCTGATAGAACTGTTTGAAAGTCTGAAGACTACCATTTACTTCTTGGAATTCTCCGTAAAAAAAAGTCATTATTGCACCCCAATCCTTGTAACTACATGCAATGCATTTCAGAACTTTCAAAAACTCATCAGCAACACGAAAGTCAGCTACTGCTTGTATTTTGGACAAAACATTGCATGCCCTGTAAACTGTTATTAAGTTTACCAGTCCAAAATGCTAAATATAAGCATGACGAAATTAATTTTTAGATCAATTAGCCCATATAGTGATTTAATGTAACAATGTCAGCATGCTGGTAATACTAGCTTTGCGCTCGTCTCTCAAAAACACTCAGATAATGTTAATAATAAATTCTTAAATAAATATGCAAATATTAGGAAAGTGGATAAACAATACTTTCTGAAAAGAGCAAAATCAATTTTTCCAGTTAAATTGAATTCGACAAGTCTACGCATTTCAAATATGTCGAAATCATGGGTTGTGATTTTACTAATGAGTTTCTCCACAGTTTCTGTGAATTTTTTGGTATCTTCTTTAGTATCAGTTCTCTGCAAATAAAATCAACTTGATTACGAATAATCAAAAACACATATATTATTTCCTTGATGAAGCATTATTAATGAAAGACGTGAAAAGAATTTTTAATATTAACCTCAGTATTTAGAGCCTCTGATGTGGAAAACAAAAAGGCTCTGTGAGCAAAAATTGAATTTACTTCTTTATTGGATCGTATTCTCTGCAAATTTGAAAATATTGAAAATTATACTACGAAAATTATTTCAAGATATATTTAAGTAGAATGGAATAGTCGATTATTTAACAAAGGTTCTCCTACCTGTCCATACATTTCCAAAACTGCTTTTGGTAACTTCCTCTTTAAACTGTCCAGTTCTGAAATGTGTTGACTACGAGAAGAGTAGGATATGACTTCAATCATAAGTCCACAGGTTCAGTCATCTATTTCAAATTTTAGCTCACCCGTTTGGTCCAAAAGTTGTTTAGCAGCATAATAAATCCTGTCAAATTCGTCTATTTCATCCAATGAAAATAAATATGGAATGGATCTAAAATTTGAAATAACTTGAAGTAAAATTTTTCGACTTGAACAGTCGAGGAATTCAAGATCTATAATTAAATATCCTTGAACAATTCTCGTCAACGATCTCAATGAATCAGTAATTTCCGAACTTTTTTAACTCTTATTATTAAATTGAAATCCTCCAAAACAAGCATAATATGAAAGACCTGATATTATATACAGTGTGAAACAGGAAAAGACAGTTGGAAAGCACATCTCCAAGTTTATCGCCACTGCATTTGTCATACAATCCCCATGACTCGTTAGTCGTCAAATTGACAATTACGCTGTAAAAATTGTCTAATCTTTCGAAAACTTCGTTTATAAATTATGTTCGAGTATTATTGTTACAAAAGACGAGGCAATGGTTAAACAATTTATTCATACTTCATATAATGAGGATATTTTAATTTGCCTTTTATTTCGCCCTAATTTCGCCTACTCATGTGTTAAGATATTGAAACATATTATTATCTAATTTCGACTCTGATTGCAGCAGGATTAGACATCCTGGCAAAGAATCGAAATATTATTTAGTACACTTAACTAGGCAAAAAGAGTCACCTTTTTTCCTTGGCATATTTCCTAATTGCACTAGCAGTATTCGTTGAGATTCGTTGTACGATATCATGGACCAATTTGCAAATTTTCTGCCTTCTATCGGCTTGAAGTTCGGTACACCAAAGAGTTTCGACTAATTCTTTGAGTGTCTGATGGGGCAGACAATATTTTACTAGTTCACTCGCCGAAGCATACAGTTTGTTGGCACTTTTTAAAATCGCGGAAAAATGTTCCAACTACAGAAATGAATATGATAGTTAAAGTACGGCAAATAACAATGAAAGTGAGGAAAAAGTATACATATGTAAAAGGTTTTAATTTTTATTCAACAGTAATTTAATGAAAACATCAATATGGTAGACACAGAATAATACTTGGTGTTTGCTTTAAAATGTGCATCATGCAGTAGCGATACACGAAACAACCTGAATAAATCACATCTCAGCATTCTCATCTTCAGCGTTGGACGACAACCAAAGAGGCAGAAAAAATTGATTATTTATTAGTAACCATAAAAAGAGCAAACAAACCTCATCGATCGCTTTTTGTAAATCACTTGCCATTGCTGATTAAAAGTGAGATCCTGAAAACCGATCCTTTTACACTTTTCTTTTTGAAATTATATTTATTCTAAGCTAATTTCACGCAAACTCCTCGAAATTGTAGAAAAAGCAGTGGAAAAAAGGAGCAAAAGTTAACCCTTACATTTAGCTGTCTTTATTATTATCTCCTACAGTAATTACAATGAGCGAAACCTAATTTTGTCTGTCGATCAAAAAATTTATTTTAGTGCGATAACTCCACCCATATCTTGCAAAATTTCATCTGTTGTTTTTCAAGTTTGATGTTATTCTCTTGCTACCATCATGCTACTAAATCTTACCTACTTCAAGAAAAGAGCTCCCTCAATCCCTCTTAACCTTCGCAGATCTTATATAGAACTTCTTCAACTTAAATACAACCACGACATCAATACCCGTCTCACAGCGAATTTTCCCAATAGCAATATGAAAAAAAAAAGTTTCACAATGAGAACGTAGCCAATAGCACAATATCTCCATTACTTCCATTGGTCACCATTTTATATCTCATTCTTGGTCATCACATCAGTACTTTTACCGGTCACCACTTCCCTTTGATCACTGTGCAGTATTTAGAGCAAATGTTTTTTATTTGACAGAAACGGAATAAAGTAATGAAGTAGTGAAGTGTTGTTAGTTGAGTAACATTGTTTGGTCGTTGACCAGCGGTTACCGTCCAGGCGATGACACATTTCAGGTATTTGTACTATTTCAATATCTTTCTTAATGAAATAAGTACACAAAGATGTGAATGGCTTCTTGGAAAAGTTTGATCATTCTAACAGATTTCAACTTATCATCTCCAATTTAAGCATTGCTTAAAATTTTCGCTATACTAGCGTAGGTGTGTTAGATATGGCAAGAACTCTTTTGTTGATTGTCTGCTTTCTCCTAACTTCTTAAATCTCTATTTATTGATGAGTTAATTTGTTGTTTTGTATCGCATTCAGCTGGAAATCAGTTTTGCCATTTCTCATTTCTGGCTTATTTATTTCAGTTAAGTCTATTCGATACCGTTAAAGTACTTCCAAAGAGATAGAGGTTTTTTTTCCTTTTTCTTTCAAGAAAACTTGAATTTGAAAATTTCTACCACTACGTAATCATTATGCTTCTCCTTAAGTGTCACTCAAACATAATTTTTTTCTCCAGGATTTGATTTACCGATGGAATCTATCTTCAATCTATCAATCTTTTCCTAACTATCCCTCACAATATTCGTCTTTGGTTTGCGATTCGAAATAAGCATGTAGCATATGCATATTAGATTGAAAAATGTTTGGAGTAAAATTCATCAATTGATATCACAATTGGTCAGGTCAGTGGCACATGTTTCTCGTCTACTTCTTTAGCATTTCTATCAAGCGCTGCAATGAATTTCAACGCCCACCTCAGAAACTTTTTTTCCTCTAGCAAAGCGAACGGCCAATGAACTTTGATGTGATCATTATGAAAATGAGACCTCGAAATGATCGGCGATGAAATTTAGTGATAATTATTTGACGAGAAGATAGAGAATAAGGAAGTCGTGAATGACAATATGCTTTCACTTTGCAATGTTTACAATGGATACGAACATATCCGCGATTCATGATACTTTGACATCACTGCCAGATAAGAGAGATACAAATAGATTTCATGTTACATTTATTTCTTCACAGTCCTTGTCAACTGACATTTACATTTACGTATGTTTCGGCATTTGTGAATCTTGCTTTGTTATATTTATCATAAAGAATATTAGAAAAACGTTGAATATTTAAGAAATTTTAATAAAAATATATAATAATTTTGACTTAGTACTTTTTTATTTAAAAGCAGACAAATTAACTGAACACAAAATGAAATTGATCCATTTGATAAGACAAAAATTTGTTGTGCAGTAGTTTCACACTGCTCAAATCACTTCCCCGATCAAAAAAATGGAGCGCAAAGTTTTTTTTTCCTTTTTTTTGTAATTTGCATGCTCCAAGATAGGAAATTGTTTTTTGTCTCTTCCTGCATCAATTCTGTCATGAAAATCACTTCACAGAACTTCCAAAAAAAGTAATTTTCTATAAATGCCATTTTAACAGACACTTCTCTCATTTCCTAACTCATAATTCCTAAATTTTTACGTCTTATTTTTAAATTACTATTTCAGTGATGACAGTATAGATATGAGGAAATATTTTGCAATGAATGAATGAATGAGTGCACTTGAATATCTTTTAATTATTCCCTCAACTCATTGGTCGACAAAACAGTTACACTTTCTGAAGGAAAGCATCAGATGACGTCGAATTTTCAGCAACTGTACGATAGATCTACCTTTTTGATTGCTATGTCAAGTGTTGGAAGTAACAAGAAAAGAAACAAGTCCCCCATTTGGTACAATTTTTTGAATTTTCAGATTTTCTGTATTTCGAATTACTACTGTGAAAATTTTTCTAATTTTTATCACCAATATTTATAATTGAGAAATGAAACACTTGTCGAAATGTTTGCGCTCATAATTGTCAGCAACTTTGGATTTCAATTCTTCAGTTGCTTGTGAAAAGTAAAACTTGATATCTGATCTTTTTAATATTAACTTAATGATCTCAGTCCAACAAATGATAACTCCTTGAGACTAAATCGTGCTCAATTATTCCTTTCAGGAACTCTTGTCAGATCTCGTCGAAAATGAAACTTTTATTATGAGTAACGATTTGTTTTTTCGTTTTCTGATTGAAAAGAGCACTTTTTTTTTTCATTTTCGATTTAGCTGCCAAACTTTTGGTCCGTGTGTTATTACTGATTAGTGTTATGTTTCAAGCAAATTTAAGGTGAAATTTGTGATGAATCATGTTGGATCTGTTGTACTTTATGAATGAGAATAGAGAATTGAAACTGAAAATGCTTTAATAATATTTATTTTTGCAATACACCGAAAAAATTCAATAAATAAATAAGTGTTCGTTGTAGAGAAATACAGCGATCGAATGGAAATGCATTAAATTAAATTCAAAGAAGTCAGAAATTGATAATTCTCCATTTCGTAGCTCATCGTTTATTTCCGAATTAACTTCACCCTGAAATTCAAAGTCCAAGCAATTTTCGATAAAAACATAGAGAGAAATACTTTGCTTTTGTAAAAAATTCTAAATCCAGTGAAGAAGAACAATTTGGACTTTCGGTAAGAGGCAACAAATTGCAATTTAATCTTAGAACTATCCATATGAGGACTAATTGAAATTCCGAGATAGGGAACGTAGAATAACTAACCAAACATTTGTCATACATTGAAAAAAGGGCTACTATAAAAGTATTATCAAATCATACATCATGGAAGACATTTAAAACTATGTGGAGATGAAAATGTGCAAGTGCGTTCCATCAATTTTAAGTTTTAAACCGAAAAAAATTTTTAAATTGAGAATGTCAAACGATGATTCCACTTTTAAAGGGTTTTTTAAATGTTTAGCTAGATAGAATTTGAACTTTCAACTTGATGCCTCATTCAAATATACTTCACTATCTTCAATTGAATACCATTCCCTGAAGTTTTAATTATCCTTAATTATCTTCGCTATATTCTTTCCAGTCCTATTTCCTCTTGAATGCTTCGAGATTTGATTAAAATTGAAATTCAATCCTAGGAAAAAATTTCAAATTTAAGTCCTAAGCAAATATGACTTCTTGCGCTTGATTTGATTTTTGAAAATCTTACTGAAATCATTATATTTATTTCCCACTCTTTTATTGCCATCCACAGCTTACGAATCATTTTTTCTCAGCCTCCTTAAAACTGGTTATCAGGTAACTTACTTGACTTTACCACCGGTGTTTCCACTTTCTCCGACTTTTCGGGATTTTCACTCTCCTTCACTTCCTCTTTTGGTACCTCCGATGTTTTTATCTCCGTCGCCTTTTCCGCTTTCTCCGTTGCTTCTAGTGAATCGCCTTCTTTTGGTGTCGCAGCCATTTGTTCTCCTTTTGCAGCTTCGGCTGACTTTTCCTCCTTTTCATCTGTTTTTTTTTCTTCTTTGACTCGCTCATCTGACTTACCTTCTTCCTTCAGTGCTTTAGTAGTCTTTTCTTCTTCCTTTGGCACTTCTGTAGACTTTTCGCTTTCCTTCGATGCTTCTGAAGACTTTTCGCTTTCCTTCGCTACTTCTGTAGGCTCTGCATCTTCCTTTGGTGCTTCGGGAGATTTTTCGCCTTCCTTTGGTGTTTCGGCAGACTTTTTACTTTCTTTTAATCTTTCTGCGGACCTTTCGCTTTCCTTTTCTGCATCGATAGCCTTTTCGTCTTTTGTTGACGCTGCGGTGGTTCCTTCTACTTCTTCTTTCCCTGGCTCTGAGGATTTTTCTGTGTCCTTCACTTCATCTTCCTTTATTTCCAATTCTTTTTTGCCCTCTTTGGATGCTTCCACTAATGCCGACTCCGACTTTTCGTCTTCCGCTTCTTTTTTTAAATGTTCTGATTTTAATTCTTCAGTTCCCTTTGTTTCTTTAGATGAGTCCTTCGACGCTTCCTCTGATTTTGAATGTTTCGTATCTTCTTTCGCCTCTTCTTTGTCAACTTTTTTTGAATCCTTAACTTCTACCTGAATTGAATGACTAAAGTTTAGACTGAAAACACAACTTATAAATTTATCATTTAATTCCATATCTCCGTTCAAGATATCAATTTCTAAGGAAGATAAAATTTTATGAAGGCAAAAACGATTATAACAATTGTAGAGAACTAAAGGACTAAATTGCACTTTTGTTCGTCGAAAAAAATTTAAGAATTATGTGGAACTCGGCAAAAGTTTTCATGCTGATAATTTCATGAAAATCTGAAGCCTTTAACTTTATATGTTCTTAAGGATCTATAGATTCTTGGACAAGCTGGTCCATATCTATTCGTTAGTTTTTTGAGCTTAACTATATCAATGCGAAACTGTTATAATATAATGCGGTTGAAGTTAAACAAATTGATATGCTTTTTCGATTCGAGATCTTTTTCTTGAGGTAGTAGTTTCTTTCTATGATTCAAGCTAATCTTAACAGTTAGTAAATTAAATACCTTGGCGATGGGAACCTCTTCTTTCTCGGTTGCCGATGCAGTTATTCCAGCCGATTCGTCTGAAATGGTTTGTGTGGATTACTTGAGCTAATTTATTTCTCGATATTTGATAAAGCGACAAGTTTGTGGACAATGGGCGCTTTTTGTTGAAAGAAATCCAAATCAGGAAGTCAGTTCCATCCAAAAATATGTAACAAGTAAGGATTGCAGATTTGAAATAGTTGCTGCATGATTTTTAGTATTGGAATTTTTACTTTTAAGCACAATACCACAGATGAAATCGCATACATATTTAATTGAAAATTCAATTAAAAGTTTTATATTTTAACAAAAAATTATGCCTTATGAGTGAATGAATTTAGAACAAACCTGGCTTAGGTACTGGGCTCGACAACACAACAGTTGATAAAAAGAACAAAGCAATAGCTACTAGCAATTTCATTCTTGCCTAAACGAATTTTCATTTATGAAAAAATACCTTTTTATAACGAATGACACCGTTCCGGAAAAACGAAGGCAAATCACATGCTAGTATTATCCTTTAAAATTGACAGTTGCTATGAATTCTGTTAGCTTGATGTTATTAAAAGTTAGTTTATGTTCCTTACACATAGCCTTTCTAAACATAGGCTTTCCTGGTAAACCCGAACCAAAATTACAGTACGCTATCAAAATGGAAATGATAGTTAATGAAAAGTGCTGTTGATCTGAATGGTAAATGCAAAATATTTCGTAGCAGTGGATGTTGGAAATTGAGAGGGATGGAAAAGAGATTTTATTGTCATCTGCAAAAAGGTTTTTGCCGAACAAATATAATTTTTAAATATTTCCAGCAAAATTTTTAAATGCACACTTGAAGATTTCAAGTCTTATCAATCCTTTTAAAGAGAAATTTTCGGCTTTGTATTTTGAGTTAGCAGTTTATTACTAACTATAATAACACAACTACAATTTCAGATAGCAGGAATTTTATATGTTACGAGATTAATTTCGTACAGACAAGAGAAATTGAGTTAAAAAATTTCTATACCTTGGCTTCTTTGCTGAAACAAAGCCCACTTATTGTTCTATTCAGTGTTAGAGTTGAAATCTGAAGTGTTAAATAGCTTAAACGAAGAAAAGTCGAGCAAGTGTTGGGCAGATCAACTAAATGCATAGAGCTAAGAATTGAAATCAGGATAAATAGCTGGTAACAATGACCATTATCACTCTGATGGATAACTGGTCAAAGGTTAATTCTTCTATCTGCTTCCTTTTCCACTGTTTAATTTAGCATCGTTAAAACAAATGTTTAAAGATGAATGGTTTCGAGCTGTACGCCCTTCGACCCAACTCCGACAACAAATGACGGTGTAGTGTGGCAAATTTCTCAAAAATTTGATCTTTGATACGTATTTTTACAAAAAGCATACATAGCACATACGCAAAAGGATGAGTTAATTCATTTCCGGTTTCTACGTCAGCAACATCTTCAAATGCAATGGTATTGATATCACTTTAATTACCCGAGTTAGACATTCTCCAACCCTTCTTCATGATATATCGAAATGGTGAAGATTTTCACGTCTTTCAAACAAACCCTGTAGAAGAAAAAGCGAATCGGTTTTAGCAATTAAAGAAATACTGCAAAGATTGCTTTACAGGTGGTCTTAGCTTACTCCCAAAAGGTTGTTATTCTCTACAATCTGTTCTTCGTTCTGGAAAAGCAATAGACAACCGAGAATCCAAGCGAAATTGCAAAAGACAGCCTTAATGAACACTTCTTGGAAGAGCATTCATTCTTCCGTGATATTCTAACAATCAATAAGTAATACAAATTTTGAATTAATTAATATTAATAAGAAATATGTGACGTAATGTCGCAATTCTTTGGTGTGAGCGGGAAAATTTGTGATAAGAAAGTGAAATTTTCAAACTGATAATTCCTTGAATGTAGTGTGTTTATGGGATGCATAGAAACATTTTTCTGAAAAGTATGAATGAATGATAATACTTAGTGTTGGTTCTCGGTTTTTCTTCATTTTTTTAGAATTTAAAAACTTCATCAATACCTTAAAACATACTGTATGAATCAAATTGTATGCTGAAATATGATAAGCAATCTTGATGTTGAGAAATCAACGTACAACGAAAATTGTTCAATTTTCCTCGGGAACAAATGCATTTTTTATGATGGCACTTTTTCCTGTAATATTTAACTTCTAAAAAATTCTTTTATCCTATTTGTCCGATAATAAACTGATTCTATCATTTGATAAACTATTTGGTTGAGAATTAATTAAACAGAAAATCCATTCGCTAAGTCAATCCACTGGTGAGCAATCAACCAAATAAAGTTTTTTTTCTGATATTGAAACCAAGTTTGTGACCATATAAAGAGCAATGACCTATTTGCAGCCAGAGCTATGTCATCTGAAATACAATAAAAAACACAAAATGAATGTAATGGATAACAAAGAATGGCCCGACAGGTCGAAATCAACTTTTTTTCAAATTGTGGTTGAGCATAATTGCACTTAACCATTGTGACACATTTACTGTCCAAGTTTTTGAAATTACGATGAAAGGAACTGGACAAAAAGAGTTCCTGCTCCAAATTTTCGATGTCCAAGTCATATAATTTATACATTTTTAGAGAGATATATCGCA